CAACACCTTCAACCAGCTCCTCGTCCTCTGGATTATTCGACATTCGTTGCCGTGGCTTCGAATAGAGGATTTCATTTTAGGTATAGCATTCAGATATCTCCGACATGTCGCCAAGCCATACACCCGCGTCTGGGCGGCCACCGAGGCACATCGGCTGTACTGCCACTTGCAGAGTAAGGTGTTGGACACACTCCAGGTGAATTTATTTCGTCCTCTTGATCAAGCAAATAGTTGGCTGATTGCTCCTCTGGATTGCTCATCTTAGTCAAATACCTCAAAGCTCAGCCTGATCCATGATGTGTGGACGACCAAGGGGAATCGAAATGCGTTTCTAGGAATCACCGTGGCTTATATCGACGACAGTTGGACATTCAAGGTCTGTCACCTGTCGGTTAAGTATATTGCTTGGACACATAAGGGCAAATATCTGGCTATTCCATTGGCGAACATCCTCCTCAAATCCCTCTTGAACAATAAGATAAGTATTTCTGTTATTATGTATCAAACTTTGTATGACATAGCAGCTAGCTGATTAGCAATTATTTTGGTTGTTGTATTTACATCATAGCCCAAACTACTGACTCAGGTTCAAATAACCTCACAATGGCTGTCAAAGTCGACCGACTGCTCAAGAAGGACGCAAATCACAATCAGGCCATCTCAATCGCCAAGAATCATATCCGGTGCTTTTGTCACAAGCTCGCCCTCATCCTCAATGCCGGCCTCAAAGCAATCTCAGTACCCCAACGCGATCAAATACCCACTCGCCCCGTGTTGGGTTTTGTCCCCGGCCTGTGTGCCATATCCGAGGAATCATCTGACTCAGGCCAAGTGGACCCATTGGCCAACCCCTTCGATACCGATGGCTTTGTTGACAATTCAGACTCCGACTGCAGTGATGATGAAGGACCAGAACTGAGGGAGGCCAATGTTATTGAGAAAGTATTGAAGAAGGTTAGTTATGACCTTCTTTTTATTATATTTTTCATCTTGAGAAGTTCACCCTGACCAAGATCTATCCTGTTAAAATAGGTTGATTATGTGATCCAACGAATCACTTCCTCATCAGCCAAGCGAGCCGAATTCAACACATGGGCCAAAAAACTCGACTACTCGGGCCCAACTCTGATCGCCGGTTACGGTATCCACTGGAATATCAAGTTTGAGAGCCGTGAGCGAGGGTATATTGCAAGGAACGTAATCAACAAACTGATCAAGAACGAGCGAGACCGACAAGAACATGAGGGAGGCAAGAACCACTTCAATGAATATGAAATCACGCGAAGCCGACTGGGACACATTGTCCAAGAAATTGAATGATATCATCAGTGTAAGCGTTTCCTTGTCATTTCCAGATCAAGTTTGAGAGCCGTGAGCGAGGGTATATTGCAAGGAACGTAATCAACAAACTGATCAAGAACGAGCGAGACCGACAAGAACATGAGGGAGGCAAGAACCACTTCAATGAATATGAAATCACACGAAGCGACTGGGACATTGTCAAGAAATTGAATGATATCATCAGTGTAAGCGTTTCCTTGTCATTTCCAAGATTACTTTCATTTCAGTATCTAATTACCTATGAAATCAATATTTTTCTATACATCATCAACAGGAATTCTATTACATCACTAAGAAGATGGAGGGCGACATCCCATCGGCTTCAATGGTCCTTGCAAAATACCGACTCCTGCGGCAATACCTCGAGGGCAAGCTCAGCACCATCACCGAGGATGAATTCAAGAACATGATCAACACCATGCTCAAAAAAATCGACACCTACGTCAACGAGGCTCTTGCATGCGATGCCATCCTTCTCGCCACAGCTCTCAACCCCAGCTACCGCCTCTCAATGATCCAGAAGTGGTACCCCTCAGCCTTCCCCCGCGCAAAATCCCTTCTGGAAGACCAATTCCAACAACGCAAACAGGCCCTCAATGACCAGGCAGCAAGAGATGAAGACACCCCGCCACCCGAAAAGAACACAACCCTGCCCCCTGGTGGTGGACTCGAGGAAGATGTCAACTTCTTTTCGGATGCTGCGCCAGAGACCTATGACGAACTGGCAGCGTACCTTGGGGGTAAGTATCGGCTGCCCTCTTCACAGGCTGCTGATTGCTTAACTTGGTGGAAGGTGGGTTCAAACTTTTCATAATTCAGGTTCTGAGTTTGTCATAAGAATCTGATTATTACCTTTTTCGATGAAATACAGCAATACCATTGAGGGTACAAAGATGCCACTTGATGAAGAAAACAAGTATAAAAGGATTGAACCCACACATGGCAGATCAAAAACAGGCAAACAAACCAATTTACCTGGGGACTATCAGAATATCTATAGCCAGTACTTCTCCCCAAATTCTTTTTAAAATGAAGAGGTGTTCAGGTACCAGTCCCAAATGGCTTGACCCAGCGGTGTGCAGTTACAATAAAATGTGATATCTGGCGTATCTGAGTATTGTAGCTACCTAGCTTCAACAGATAGAGAGCTATTGTATTGTAATTTGGGTCTTTTTCCCCCTAGAAGAGCTGCAATGTAACATCAATAACACAATAAGATAACCCCTGTAGTATGCCAATTGTGTTTCAAGTATCAAATTAAATAAATTCACAGTCCACTATTCAGAAGGGCATGTATTCTTAGGTGTATTATGGCATAATCAAATTCTATGGGTCATTTAATTTTAACCCATAGTCACTCACTGGAACCACTGGGCTAGCTCCACTCAGTCAAAAGCTATCTGGGATTTAAATTTTATTTGCATACTAAGGGCGTTGATAAACGCACGCCAGCCCCCCTGGCGCACGCCAAACCGCACGCCAGGTGCGGATTGGCGTGCGTGCCTGCACGCCAACGAAAATTGGCGTGCGGGGCCGCACGCCAATGACCTGCAGGGATATACCCTGCAGGTTGGCGTGCAGGCCTGCACGCCAAAGGTGTTTGGCGTTGTAAGCCCAGTTCCTCACAGGCTTACACAAACATGTCACATGATTACATAAGCCTGGTTCTGGTGTATTTAGTCTCATCTTCTCCTTCTCCTTCCTAGCTTGGTAGAGTTCTTCCTCCTACCGATGCTAGGTACGTCTTCCCATCTCTTCTTTCTCAATTCTTCTCTTCCCTATTCTCACCATTCTAGTTGTACTTAAGAGAGTTCTTCCTCCTACCGATGCTAGTAATTAAATCGACCGTGGTACTAGAAGTTCTCTCCAAGGCAAAAGGCCTTGTTCCGACCGACCTCTAAGAGTACCAGTGAAGAGCATTCACAGCTCTTACACTTTTTTTTTCTAGTTCCATAAACAATACGGGCAGGATTTTTTTTTTTTTGGAAAATTCATTATTAAATCTTCAGCCCGATTCTTGACCTCAATCACCATCTCATCCACCTCCGTCTGGTCAATCTCAATCTCGCCATCTCGGGCCTCGCTTTTAAGTCCAAACCGCGCAAGCTTTCAAGTCCAATCCACGCCGAATGACCTCTACTCCAGGCAAAATGAACCAAGGATGGGCACATCGACCTCTTCACCAGACTCAGAATTGCTACGAGACTCGTGTCCAATACCTGGAGGAGATCGTTCACCTCCTTTTGGCTAAAACAAATTCACCTCGGCCCCCCAAGCCGGCTCATTCCGTTACTCAACGGAGCGAGGCCTTGTACCTCTCTTATCCCAAGCGACAGCAGGTTTGCTGGCTGTTGCTCAATCCAATCGAAACACACTATCTCGTTCTCTTACCCGAAGTCTAGGCGCCTACATCTATCGTCATCCCTCCCCATCAAACTCTAGTTGCTCATCGGCCTCCTCTCGTCGGAAAAATACCAATGATCCCAACAATGCAGCTATGAAACTCGCAGCATCCGCGGTCCTACCTCGCACTCGTGGTGATCACCAAAACGACTCTCCTTCCTTTCATCCTGAATCTCCTCTTATGATCCGTGACGCACGAACTCCACCACTAAGCACCGAGACGGCCGTGAATACATTGCCGTTGCCCATCACTGAACCTGGCCTCTCCCCCCCAGAACCCAGTCCTCCCATCGAATTGTCTCATGGAGAACAAACAAAAAGATTCCCGGTACGATCACTCTCGTTAGATCGGCTACCGCCCTATGGTCTTACCGCACCCGGCCCAACAACAACCCCCAACGCCACAAGGTTCTTTTTGAACAACCTACCATCTGTCACAGGCCTCTCAAGTCTAAGACCCGCCGCTGGACCCTCCTCTGTACTGCAGGCAAACAGCTCCCCCTCCCAATCGCGCTCGTTAGACCAATTTCCACCCGCTGCTTGCGCCAAGGTTCCCAAAGCGGAACACGCTTCCGTCACCCGCTCTCCACGGACGGAAGTGAACATTGATCCTCCTACTCCTAGCTTGACCGCCCCTCCTCCACCGCCTCTACTGCAGCCCGAGGCTGCCTCGCGATCAGCCGCTTCGTTGGTTGACTTAAAACTGGACAGCTTGATCGTCCCACCTTCACCGCCTCTACAGCAGCCCAAGACTGCCTCGCGACCAGCAACACCCGCAGCGAATACACGGCCGGATTCTCCAACCGTTTTCCCACCACCCTCTGGTTCCGACTTGGAAATCATCAACGATCGAGCTCTTACTCCCACCGAGACCACCAACTACTCTGAAGGGCACTTGAACAGCATGGTCTCTGCTGAGCCATCCTCCAAGATGTCATCCAACAACCCTCAGTCCTCTCAGCTTACCATGACCGACCTGAATTTTTAACAACCTCAACAATTTAGACAAAATCCCCACCCAAGGGGGTGTAATGACTACTATGAATCCTTTGAAACTACTAGTAAGTGATGTCTGCTAAGTAATTATCTGTTTACTTCTCTAATGCAAGCATGGGGAACAAAGTAAGTGGGAAAGAGTCTTCTCTATATACATGTGGGTGGTTCTGATCAGGTACTAGTGGTAAGATATCAGCTGATGTAAGAAGATGGTATGAAATAAGTTGTATCTGAAAGACAATTGGTTATGAAATAAATGTGGCTGACAAATGCGTAGTGTGAAATAAACATGTTGAAAAGGAGAAAATATGAAGTAACTTCTGTTTGTGATAAAAAATAATATGTAGTGCAAAAAAGAAATGAGATAATCAAAGACTGATATAAATATTCTGAGGTGAGATGAGAAATCTGTGTGGTGAAATATATATGTAGGTGATATAAGCAATGAGTAATGAGTTGAAATGAGATGTATGATGAGAATGTAGGTGATATAAGCCATGTGTATTGAGTTTGAAATGGAATGTAAGAATGAAATACTTGTAGTATGAAATATATGTAGAATAAAATAAATGTAGAATGAAGTAATTGATGTATGAAAAGAAGTGGATGATGAGTGAGATGAGATGACAATATCTGGATGAGAATTCAGATGTATGGGATGAAACAGTATATGTAGTCTGAATAAGTGATATCTGAGATGAAATAAATAACATTTACTGAAAGATTATTATCATAGAAAGAAGGTACTGAGGGAAGACTAATTTGTATCTTGAGATGTGTGATGTGTAGTATGTTGTAGCTATGTAGTACCATATATTATGTAGCCAAATGAGTGTAAAATCTACTATCTTATAATGTTCTTAACTGGATACAAGATAAAGGGTTATGTAACATATGCATATCTGGTTGTAATAACATGAAAACTACTGTAAATAGCTATTTTGTACTACATATGACCTTGATTGGTCTCACCACAACCTCCCCCAACTTTATTTGTCTGTCCCCAGACAATACCTCTCTAAATAAATAAATATATGTAGTTTTTGTAATGATCATGTAAGGAAAAAAAATTAGAAATGTGAAAATTTACAAGTGTCACAGAGAAACAAAAGAAAAAAAGGCATGAGTTCAATTGGCCAGTCTTGAGTTTCAGGTTTGCTTGAGAAATGATTATCTTGAATTACAAATCTTCAGATCTTGAATCTTAAATTTGAGAATAGTTTTCAGTTGAATTCTTGAATGGGCAGTTTCTGATAATGAAATTTCTCATAATTTAGTATCAAGGTAAAATTTTCTCTATTTCTATCTTAGTGATTCCAATCTGTTTTAGCCATCTGACTAACAAAATCTAATCTGTTTTTAATCCTCTGAAAAAAAAACCTCTGTAATCTTCTTATTTTCCAGTAATTTTACCTTTAACTAAATTATGTAATTTCTTTATTTAAATTTTCCATTTCAAAATTTTCTTCTTCAAATGCTTCTCAAAATTTAACCTTCTTTATTCTGAATTTTCTGATCTTCTTGTTAATCTCTTCTTTCCACAGCCTTTAACTTATTACTAGACCTGAATGTTGTCATTACTTCTTCTTCCTCACTGTTGTTTCTGTTTTTGTAGAATGTACATGTAAAAGAAACTGGTTTCTGGATTTTGAGTGTACTTGTTTGAAAGAAACTGTTATCTGAATTCTTGGATGACAGAGCGTTGGTCGATAAGAAGTTTCTGTACAACCATCGCAATCGGAGTATTAGATTGAGATGTTAACAGAAGCTCTCGAAAGCAGATCAAGGTTGAACCAAAACGCTGAACAGGTGGATTCGGTCGGAGTAGAACTTAAAACGACTAGGAACGAATGAATACGGATATTGTTTAGGGACCTCGCCGTATCGGTCCGACTAGAAGGAGAGTAATGCAAGACTGAAAAGGAATGACGGCTTATTGACGGCTTTTAAGGACATCAGCGAGCTCGGTGCAATGCGTTGTATAACATCATCGATCATTGAATTTGTAATGTGAGACTGAAAAACGAGAGACATTCATCGTCGGCTTTTAAGGACATCCGCGAAAAATATCGGTCCGACTAGAATGAGTGTAACGCAAGACTGAAAACGAATGACTGTTTGTATCGACGGCTTTTAAGGACATCAGCGAGAAAAATCGGTCCAACTGTTCAATATTCAATTTTCAATGTTATCCTGTCAGAATCTAACACAGTCGGTGCTTCGCGCCGATCAGTCCTTTTTGCTTTGGTCCATATGTAGTTGAAAATAATCTTTGAGGGGAATGTCTGCCCAGTTGACCGTGATAATTTATTCAAGTCGCTGCTAGAATCTGGCATCTGGAAACGAGTATAGTCTAAGATTCTTTCCGATCTGTTTCTAAAACTATCTACTGAGAGCCCAGCCATAAGTACCTCAAAGACGAAGGCAGCTACTATCTGGCTACTAGGAAAGCCTCGGTTTTTCTTGATGACTTCAAAGTTGATCGGGTCCAACAGCAAGCCATCATCACAGATCATGAATAGAATAAACCAAAAGAATAGAATCAATGAGACCTTCAAGAAGTTATCCCATTCATTATCTTTGTGCAATTCCAAAGTATTATTGAAAACATTCACGCCCTGTTCTTCATGTTGCTGATAGCCCAAGTCTCCTCTTTGATTCATCGTGTAGATTTCTTTTTTAGAACCATCATCGTTACAAGGTGGTTTAGGTAAAAAACAATCTAAATCTGGTGATTTGGCTGAATGGAATTCGGTTTGAATGTCTTTGTTTTGTCTATCAACGTTATCTAGATTATGTTGCCTGAATTTGACCGGGTAATCTTCTAGTTTTTGTTCACTTTTGTTCTCTGGATTGTCATTTGCGAACGGTAAGACATGGAAACTAGACAGCAGTTCTGCTGCTATGTCATCTCCGAAAGGGTTTTCCTGCTGGAAAATGACAGGATCCTCCCCCAACTTGGCTGATGTCCCCATCAGCTGGGCAGAAAAAGAGAATAAGATATCTGAGTCATTGCTGTGAAAAAAATTTCTGGCCACTGTACTGATAGGTACAAATGTTGAATTGTTATCTTCTATAAAGGTGCTGGTGTTGTATTCTTCCTCCTGAGAAAAATCCACTACTCCATCAGAATTTTTGTCTTCAAAGCTCAAAGCCACATTGAAGTCCTCCATCATTCTCTGAGTTATCTTTTCTTCCAACCCAGTGAAATCTGTGGTTAAAATTTCATCAAAAAAAATCTTGCTAGCTGGTTGATCTTCAGAATGAAATTCTTGAGGCTCTATTTCTTCAGTTATTTCTTCAGGGGGCTTGTTGGTCTGTTGAGTAGAGATGATTTCTGGTTCTGAGGGTGGATTGAAAGTAAGAGCTGCAGAGGAGTTGTCCAATTCTTCAGTTTCTAGGTCGTCATCTTCTTCATAAGAGCTTAATGATGGTATGTAAATTTCTTCAAGTTGCCCAAAAGAGGAGTAGAATTCTATTTCTGTCATAGCCGCTGTCTTCTTGGAGTTTTCTGAAAACTGATCAACTACTTCTTTTATAGGTCTACTAGTATCCCAGGCAATTGGTGTATCGTCCGGTAAAAGATAACTTCTGCCTTCTTTCTTGACTAAGCCATTGGATTCATCAAAAGAAAATAAATTACATCTATTGGAACTGTGATTGGGTTGGAAGCAATAATAACATCTGAAATTTGGGTTTCTGTTGGGGGCTGAAGTTGGGGGGTTGGCCTGTTGAGAGACTGAATCCAAGGGCTTGTGAGGAGGAGCCATGTTTCCAGAGGTCAGAGCAGCTAGTTGTTTGGTAAGATCTTGAAGTTGTTTATCATACAAATTTTGGACAGGAGTACTAGGAGTGGTAATTCTTGGTGCCGGTTTGGTCTGAGATGCTGGTAATTTTTCTTGATTCTTTTCTGGACTCCAAAGATTTTGTTGTTCCATTACACTGTCTGATTGAACTTCTCTTTGAATGTAGGCAATGAGAGTAACAGTGGGAGGTAAGATGTCTCCTCCATCTCTAGATCGAATCATCTTATCATCTCTAATAAGTTCTTTAATTACCGCTGATCCTAATTGGCGACTGAGAGCTTCAAGCAAGAGTTCACGGAATTCTTCAATGCTAGTATTATAACCCATCCTAACTAGGTAGTGAGTGACTGCTTCAAATCTAGTCTTGAATACTTGAAATTCCCTGAGAGTCCGAATTCCTCCTTTACTGACGGCGGAGCTGACCAAACTTTCTAGATCTTGCTTTGTGTATTTGACCAGCGGAAGGGCCTTTCCAAATCGATCAAGTAATTGTTTCTTCAAACCTTCCCAGTCAACATCTTCGTAGCCAGTCATTTCTTCTATCTCGTCCTTTAAATCGGCATCCTTGATAAAAAAAATAACCTGTTTCGCCAAGTCCCTCGCGCTAGCACCATCCGCCTCGCCTGCGCATTCGTACCGCTTGATAAATTTTTCAATCGCAACATTCGTCCCGTCAAAGAACACATCCTTATCCATGGGTTTAATTTTAACCATTCTTGCTCCAGTCTCCGGTCCAGTATATTTAGGCAATCTGGTTTCCCTTTCCAAGAAATGGGGTAAAGGAAAAACTTCTGACTGATGGGATGCTGGGGTATGTCGAATTTGTTGATGATCTGAGGGATGGAGGGCTGAACTACTGGAAGTTTGAACTGACTGGCTTCTGTGTTGTCCATGGTTTGAGGGATATAGATTTAAAGGAACTGGCTGATTTCTGTAAGACATTTCTACTATGTATGCTAAGGAAAAATAACTAATAGATTTTCTAAAAAAAATGCTGGTATCTGTACTAAAAATGGTTTGAGGTAAGATTGATGCGGAAAATATCAGGGGTAAGAATTTAAAATTTTCTCAGAGGGATATAAATAATGATCTGCTGTAACTGAAGTGAAAGTATACTAATAAAATTCTCTGGTTAATATTATAGGTAGTGGTTTTCTGGAACAGATGAAACAGTAAGACTGAAGTAATAAGGGGTCTAAGACTAAAGGTTTGAAGGAGAATAAAAGCCACTGTTGGGACACCACTTGTGGAACTTTTCAAGCTAAAGAAAAGAGCTTAGAGGGGAAAAGAACAACTACACAGGGGTGAATGTGAGTTGAAGACTTGGATGCTGATGAAGCTGCCCTCTTGTCAAGGCTTGGGAGAGAGTTACACTAAGAATTAAAGAAAAGGTGTGGCTATTTCTGTGGGTAATCTTAGTATGAGATTTATTGCTGATGTCTTTGTACAAGTCACCTGCTGAGAGATTGAGGATGTGGGGGATTCTGGTAAGGATGAGGCTCTGGGGGTAATGGTTTCTGGGTTCAATTTCTTATCTTCTGGGGGAAAATCAATAATAATTACTTCTGGTAACTACTAGTAAGTGATGTCTGCTAAGTAATTATCTGTTTACTTCTCTAATGCAAGCATGGGGAACAAAGTAAGTGGGAAAGAGTCTTCTCTATATACATGTGGGTGGTTCTGATCAGGTACTAGTGGTAAGATATCAGCTGATGTAAGAAGATGGTATGAAATAAGTTGTATCTGAAAGACAATTGGTTATGAAATAAATGTGGCTGACAAATGCGTAGTGTGAAATAAACATGTTGAAAAGGAGAAAATATGAAGTAACTTCTGTTTGTGATAAAAAATAATATGTAGTGCAAAAAAGAAATGAGATAATCAAAGACTGATATAAATATTCTGAGGTGAGATGAGAAATCTGTGTGGTGAAATATATATGTAGGTGATATAAGCAATGAGTAATGAGTTGAAATGAGATGTATGATGAGAATGTAGGTGATATAAGCCATGTGTATTGAGTTTGAAATGGAATGTAAGAATGAAATACTTGTAGTATGAAATATATGTAGAATAAAATAAATGTAGAATGAAGTAATTGATGTATGAAAAGAAGTGGATGATGAGTGAGATGAGATGACAATATCTGGATGAGAATTCAGATGTATGGGATGAAACAGTATATGTAGTCTGAATAAGTGATATCTGAGATGAAATAAATAACATTTACTGAAAGATTATTATCATAGAAAGAAGGTACTGAGGGAAGACTAATTTGTATCTTGAGATGTGTGATGTGTAGTATGTTGTAGCTATGTAGTACCATATATTATGTAGCCAAATGAGTGTAAAATCTACTATCTTATAATGTTCTTAACTGGATACAAGATAAAGGGTTATGTAACATATGCATATCTGGTTGTAATAACATGAAAACTACTGTAAATAGCTATTTTGTACTACATATGACCTTGATTGGTCTCACCACACCGCTTCGTTGGTTGACTTAAAACTGGACAGCTTGATCGTCCCACCTTCACCGCCTCTACAGCAGCCCAAGACTGCCTCGCGACCAGCAACACCCGCAGCGAATACACGGCCGGATTCTCCAACCGTTTTCCCACCACCCTCTGGTTCCGACTTGGATATCATCAACGATCGAGCTCTTACTCCCACCGAGACCACCAACTACTCTGAAGGGCACTTGAACAGCATGGTCTCTGCTGAGCCATCCTCCAAGACTTCATCCAACAACCCTCAGTCCTCTCAGCTTACCATGACCGACCTGAATTTTAACAACCTCAACAATTTAGACATAATCCCCACCCAAGGGGGTGTAATGACTACTATGAATCCTTTGACCACTGCTTCTACTGACTCTACCAGCAATATCATTGATAACCCCTGCTTGCCTTCAGCCCCATTGCCTATTGATCCCACTCTTCCTTTACCTTCTGTAATCAACAACTTAGACCCAGTCTGTCACCAGACCCAGCTAATCATACCACCTGCTCAACCTGACAACGTCGAGGTAGCTGCGGTTGGAGGCATTGAAATTTTAGATAATGACAACAGCAATTCTACAGATGCCCGACTAGCCCCAGAATATTCACAAGCAACTCTAGATTACTATAATGACATCCAAGAGTACCTCCAGCAGACCAATGCAGATGAGACTGAAATGAAGAAGAAAAAGAAAAAGAAGAAAAAGAAAAAGGCCAACCCAACTTCAACACCCAAAAATCCAATTTTATTTTATGTTTGATACCTTCACCCTCTGTCCCCCACACCTATCCTCCAACCTTCCTCACCTTCCAGTAGTCTCCTTTCTATATTAACTCCATTTTTCCCCAATCTCCCCTGGGTTTTCCTTCACAAATCAGCCACCACCCCTGAACTCTTTTACAAATCTCCCGCTTACTTTCCTGTTTCTTTTCTGTCCTTGCTACTGTTAATTTTCCCCTTCTTTATTTTCTTTTATAGGAGGGGAGACTGTAAGCCCTGTTCCTCACAGGCTTACACAAACATGTCACATGATTACATAAGCCTGGTTCTGGTGTATTTAGTCTCATCTTCTCCTTCTCCTTCCTAGCTCGGTAGAGTTCTTCCTCCTACCAATGCTAGGTACGTCTTCCCATCTCTTCTTTCTCAATTCATCTCTTCCCTATTCTCACCATTCTAGTTGTACTTAAGAGAGTTCTTCCTCCTACCGATGCTAGTAATTAAATTGACCGTGGTACTAGAAGTTCTCTCCAAGGCAAAAGGCCTTGTTCCGACCGACCTCTAAGAGTACCAGTGAAGAGCATTCACAGCTCTTACAGGCGTGCGAGGCCGAACGCCAAAGCTGC